AAAAAAAGTATTATTAGAGATAAATTACCAGCTTTAAAAACTTGAACTATGTTCACAGAATAAAAATAAATTTAGTTTCAGAACACTGCCTATTAAAGGAAATAGTTCATAAAAAGTTCATATTAAAATTTTGAGAGCTTACTTCTATAAAAACACTTGGTTAAAAATAAAACAAGAAACATTTTTAGTGTGTAAGGAAAGACTCTAACAGTTTTCCTAGTATGGAATTTAACTTAGAGGATCTAAGCAAATCCTAAATCTTTTTAAATATACAACTCCAAATTTTCCATGCATTTAGAAGTGTTTGTAGCTTTACATATCATTGTAAACTTAGTTTGGGTTTCTATTGCTGTAAAGAGACACCATGACCATAGCAACTCTTATAAAGAAAAACAGGGGGCTGACTTACAACTCAGAGGTTTAGTCCATCATCATCGTGGGAAGCAAGGCAGCATGCAGGCAGGCATGATGCTAGAAAGGCAGCTGGGAGTTCTTACATGTGCAGGCAGCAGAAAGCAACTATGTGTCACTCTGAATGTAGCTTGAGCACAGGAGACCTCAAAGCTCACACCCTCAGTGACACACCTCCTCCAACAAGGAAGGCCATAACTACTCAGCAAAGTTACACCTCCTGTTAGTGCCATTCCCTACCTGGGTCATTTTCTTTCAAAACTCCATACTTACTAAATGTGCTCTTTAAGTTATTGTAAAATTAAGATTATTTTTATAGTTTATAGCTATGAAAAGTATTTTCCATATTTAAAATGAAATGTACCTTCAAAACATTCATCTTAAGTTGTTAAGAAAAACAAAACACAGTTGTCACTGTTTGACCCAGAATGTACAATAAGCCTCCTTAAGGAGGGTTTTATCCTGTTGGCTTGCAATGGTTCCCAGACTAGCAGAGAACTCCTGGGCTCTAGCAATGCTCCTGTCTTGGTTTCCCAAGCAGCTAGAACTGTAGGATTTTTAAATTGGCAGAAACATTATCAAGGATGACCAGAATTGAAGTGACTTGGAAGAGGTCAGGTTGCCCTGGCCCTGCATCTCCACCGCTTAGGAGCCATATTTGCCTGCAAACAAATGGCTTGGGAAGGGTTGGGGCACCTTGGGAGCCATATTTTCCTGAAAACAAATGGCTTTTTGCTTGATAAAATGTTTTACAAAATCCACAGGGCCCTCCTTTCCTGCTGAGAAACAGTTTGGTTCCCTAGGAGGAATTGCCCTGTGTGATATCACAGAGGACTAGAAGTTACATTGTAAAGACTCACCGCCCTGCACCAGGTGTGAAATCACAGAGGACCAGAGGTTACATTGTAAAGGCCCCCTGGTCTGCCCCAGGTGTGATATCACAGAGTACCAGAGGTTACATTGTAAAGCCCCCCTGACCTGTACCAAGTATGATGTCACAGAGGACTAGAAGTTACATTGTAAAGGCCCCCTAACCCAGGTAGGAAATGCCACTAACAGGTGTGATATGTCTGCCACAAACTCCTCTTCTCCCTTGTCTCAGCATTGAGTCTTTCCCAGGTCTAAGTCGGCTCTTGGCCAGCCTGCTGGAGTACTCAATATTCTCCTAATTGGTTTCCCAAACCCTGGTGATCTGTAGCTTTCACTTGTGGGCTATTTCAAAACCAAAACCCAAACTACAATCCCTCCAAAAGCCAGACCAATTGAGAACAGTGTTGACTGTGTTCAGTATTAGATACACGTCCCTGTTGCAAAATAACAGGCAAAATCATACTTGTTTTAACATCTGTATCCACATATATTACACTGAAAAGGGTTTTCCTACCCATGGCATCCCATGTGAAT